AACTGAAAAACTGTAGAAAATACAGTATGTGTATATCAGCACTCGGCCAAAAAATACTGATATGATTTTTTTTTTGATCGCTCAGCCCTACTCCATTTTAAGCATTAAATCATAATACATCAGAAACAGATTGCACCGCAGTGTGACCACATGTTAACGTGGTTATTTTAGTATCGTGTTATCACATGCGTAACGTTGGCAGTTGGGTTACGTGATCTGACCCTGGGGTCTGGTCTGAGAATATTCCCCGTAAACAGGGTGTTTGTTTACAGATCAAAGTGCTTACCATCAGCAATCTATCCAGACAGTGCCTTCCAGCAGCAGAGTCTCAGGCTTTTATGGGTCACAAGTTTTTTCACACACACAAAGAAAGAAAATCAATGGATGTCAATTCAAGGATCAATATGGGTGAGTCCCTGTCCCACCACAACAGTGAACCACTGGAATGTCAGAGTCCTTTTGAGCAACACGTCAGATGTACAGCCAAGTGGTCAAAGCCCTAGTGTGGTATCACAGCTGATCAGTACTCTTAAACATGGTTTGAACATGAAAGGCGATGTGTTTTGAAACAGTCTACCCAACAAGGGCTTGTTGGAATGTCACAAAGATTACAATTAAGGATGTACAAAACAAAACTAGCTGACTAGACTGTCTTTAAAGGGATAGATCACCCAAAAATCATTTACTCATCCACATGTTGTTCCAAACCTTCATGACATGAACTATTGTGGAACATAAACACTTTTTTTTTTGAAAAAAATGTATTCTTGAATTTTCCAACAATCCATATGTTGATTTTCAGACAGTGGGGTCCAATGTTGAATTGTCATTTTATAGACAGAAAAAGTTCTTCAAAATATCTTCTTTTGCGTTCAGCACACAAAAGTTTGATTTTAGAACGACATGAATGTAAGGGGGGAAAAAAATCAATTTTGGGTGAAGTCCAGATTCACTTTACAAATGTTAAGGATGTTGTCATTTATGCTTACTTCATCCATTATGCATTGTGTTTTTTGTATATTGTATTTACTGTCTCACAGATTTGTCTGCAGTATTAGGCTAAATAATGTTTCTAAATGCTGAATGTTTGCAAGGTTTCCTGAGAAATATGAATTCTCTCTCTGTCCTGCAAATGAAAATAGGCAGTAATAGTGAATTTAGTCTGGTCCACCAGAAACAGGTCAGTCCACCAGGCACAGGTCAGATAAGGAGCAATAAATTAACTAACAGATACACAACAAATTGGACAAAACTATAACCTTTTATTGCACAAAACTATCATAATCCGCACAAAACTATCATAATCCTCACAAAAGCCTTGCGGATTATGCATAATAATGGAAACGTCACTCACAGCAGACAACATGAACTCCTATGGTAATTGTTTTGACATTTACTGGCACTGGATTTTTTACAAAAGCAGTGCTTTGATGGAGTAGCAGAGTATTTTAAAGGCAAGGAGTTTAGAAACCCAACCCACCGCAGAGGGTTTTAACTAGAGCCCGACCAATATGGGTTTTTTGGGGCCGATACCGATATTAGGGAGTAAAAAAAGTCAGAGACCGATATATCGGCCGATATTCTTTGTGTATATTATAGTACAGTACCAGTCAAAAGTTTGAACACTTTCCCATTTGTGTGTCCAAACATTTGACCGGTATTACATATAGAATACAGTATATACATAAACAGAATATATATACATAAACACATTTTTTGCAATGATCACTCAAATGTGGTGATCAAACACTTATAATGGTGACAGAGATATGTAAGGGCATTTAACAATAAACTTGCGATGAGTGCGATGCACAAAGTAACGGGGTGTTAGTTGTAACACACATGGTTTGAATATTTATTTTACCATAGTAACATTTAAATTCTGGCGTAAGTAAATGTTTCATCTCAGTGTTTATTATTCATTTAAAATTAGACAAATCTGCTATTATTTTAATCTCCAATCTGTTATTTATCAGTTCAGATAATTTTTTCATGCTTTGATTACTAGCAGAAGACAC